CCGCCGGCCGAGGCGAGTGCGGGGGTCGCCTCTGCCCAGAGGGCCGCTCGGGAGCCGATCGCCGCCGCCGCCCACGGGCGCCCGGTCCTCGGCCGCGGTCACAGGGAGCCCTGCAGGGGAACCGGGACGGGAGGGAGTCGGTGCCGCGGCCCGGAGCGCGGGCGAGGGAAGGGACGGCGCCCCGGCCCGGCTCAGCACGGAACCCTGGAGTTGGGGGAACATGGTCTTTGCCCGACTTTCCAACGTTTCAAGCACTTTGTACGGGCGCCACTGGGTAGTCAGTCTGTCCGACACAGTCCCTTCAACGCTACCGCGTCAGTCTGCTGCAGCGCGAGCGCACGGAGGTCCCGGAGGATCCCGGGCTCCTGGAAGGTGGGACGACCGGGACTGGGGGTGGGGGTGGGGATGGAGTGGGGGCAGGGTCGCCCCTCCCCCGCCCGCAAGCTGAGCCCCAGGCCCCGCTGTGCCCCACAGCGCGCCGAGCTAATTTCTCCTGCTCGGTTTAGCTTCCCAGCCAGGAATCCAGACTGGGCTAACCCTCGTCCCTGCTCTCTCCCGGGCACCTTTCTGCCTCACCGTGTTGATCGTGTTAGGGCAGGGTTGTAGAGATTGCTCGCTGCCTAAGCTTTCTTCCCTCCTTAGGATCATGTTTTCAGGCCTTTGTCCCGCAGCCTGGTCAGGCTTCTCCTCGGGGACCCCTGCATGCTTGCCCTCGCACTGGCGTGTGCCTGCTTCTCTGCTCCTCCCTCCCTTCTCTCGCTTCTCCTTTTGTTTTGATTTTCGACGTGTGGTTTCTCTATGTAGCCCTAGGCTGCCCTGGAACTTGCTCTGTATACCAGGTTGGCCTCGAACTCGTGGCGATCCTCCTGCCTCCGCATCTCTGGGATTAAAGGTGTGGACACCACCACCCGACCCTCTTCCACTTCTTAATGCTACTAAACTTCTCGGTATGTCAAGTCCTTGTGTTCAAGGCTAGCCCCTGCTGCATGAGCTCCAGTTTCAGAAAGCATTGTTACTCCAGAATTCACTAAGTTGACAGGACAGGAAATGCAGTCTGAAGCATGTGCCCGCCCATGAACAATCAACGTTAACCAACAGATCATTTTGCTGGCACTCAACAAACAATATAGATTCATATGCAAACATGTGTCAGGAAACGCTCATGAATAATAAATGAACCATTTTGTTAATTTATGTACATCTTGTATGGAACTTGAAGAATACCTGGAAATATTTCTTTGTAAAAGCCATAATGACCAGAAATTAATGCCACCACAGAGGCCGAGGCAGGTGGATCTGTATGAGTTCCAGGCCAGCACAGGCTACATAGTGAGACCCTATCTTAAAAAAAATAATTTATACATATATATGTATACATATATGTAGTCTATATCACATTGAAATACTAATTAACAGTCTTACAAACCAGTCCAGTCTCTCAGGAGCTCTTAAGAAAATAGCCAGGCGATTCTTGTTAGAAATGTCCTGTCCCACATCAACGATTTCTGTTTTAACTGAACTGCTTAACCAAAGCCTAAGAGGTCGCTGTCTATTCTCTTCCCCACTCTCTTTCGTTGTAAAAATAAAGGCACCGCCACCAAGTCTGATGACCTGAATTCAATCCCCAGGACCCACGTGGTGAAAGGCGAAACCGAACTCCTGGAAGTTATCTTCTGACCTCCACATGCGTGCCCACCCACTAAATTAAAAGAAATGAGACAGGGAGAAAGAGAGAGAGGGAGAGGGAGAGAGAGAACAGGTGTCCAGTGGGCATCTGTACTCCCCACAGGAGATCCTGCAATCCCTCTGTGTTGAGGAGACTTCTCCCTTCTTTACCAGCCCCACCCCCACAACGTTTAAGATTCATGTTTCGGGTCTCAGCTCAGCTGGTAGAGTGCAGGTTAATATGTGTAAAGCCCTCAGTTTGATGCTCAGCACCTTATAAAACATGAGTGATGATGGATGCCTGCATCCTAGCATTCAGGAATTGGAGACAGGAGGGTTAGAAGTTCAAGGGACTGAGTTGGCCAGCCTGGGACATTGGAGAATCTGTTTCAGAACAAAACAAACATGCACTGAGAAAAATTAAGATAAGCGATATTTTTTTTTTTAAATCCTTCTTTATGTTTGTGTGTGCACCATATGTCCACAGTGCCTTAAAGGTCAGAAGGTCGTGAGCTGTCTTATAGGTGCTGGGAACCAAATCCAGGTCCCCTACAAGATCAGTAAGCACCCTTAACTGCTGGCCAGCTTTCTATCACCAAGATAAGTTATGTTTTTACATCACAAAGAAGACAGGGCTTGTTATAGGGATTCAGGTATCATGCCGCCCTTGCCCCCTGACAATGGGCAGGATATAAACATTGCCATTCAGGCAGATACTTAGACTGCTCAAAGGGCCCTGTGTTGCATGGCCACATCATATCATGTGCTATGTGGCTGCATGAGGATTCTTTCCCTTTTACATGAGCACTTCCCACCTGTTCCCCCTTCCCCCCTCCCCTTCCATCTCTGTAGCTGGTTGGCCAACACCTACCCCCCACCAGTTTGTTCCATTTCCCCATAAACTCCAGGTGGGTTTTGAGTTTTGTGGTTCATGTTTCATTCCCCTCAGCTGCAGCAAAACAACAACACTTGTAAAACTGTATCTATTTCAGTGTGTCTATTCAAGAATGAGTCCGGGCACAGCTAGAGGCATCACAGAGCAAGCCCTTGTGCCCTTCCACCACATGCTTCCAGAACTCATCAACAAGATGGTTTGACAACCTTGATGTGGAAATGCCTGATGCCACCCAGCTCCCTGGTTCCTTTAGATATCAGACAGTAGTGGTTAGTACAAGGGCTCTGAAGACGCCATTGTTTTCTTGGAGGGGAATGAGTTTCTGCATCTTAGTAACACTTGCTCTTTGAGCAGTAACCATGCACTCATTCAAGAATTCTGTTTCTGAGAGCTCATTAAGAGGTTATTCAGTCCATAGTTTAAAACGTGGTTTGGCCAGGTGGTGGTGGTGGCACACACCTTTAATCCCAGCACTCAGGAAACAGGCAGGCGGATCTCTGAGTTCAAGGCCAGCCTGGGCTACATGAGATTGATCCAGTTTAAAAGAGAAACAGAACCAGGCAGTGGTGGCTCACACTTTAATCCCAGCACTTGGAATCACACGCCTTTAGTCCCAGCACTAGGATGTGGAGGTAGGAGTGATATGGCTGGGTAGAGAGGAGTATAAGGTGGGAGGAGACAGGAGCGCATTGCATCTAGCCAGTAGGCCCTGTGGCTTCTTATGGTCACCCAGTGTCCCGGCTAGTTTTATGTCACCTTGGCACAAGCTGGAGTCATCTGAAAGCGGGGAACCTCAACTGAGAAAATGCCTCCATAACATCCAGCTGTAGGGCATTTTCTTAATTAGTGTTTGATGGGGTGGGAGTGTGGGGGGGTCCAGTCTACCTTGGGCAGTGCCATCCCTAGGCAGGAGGGCCTTGGCTGTAAAAGAAAGCTAGTTGAGCAAGCCATGGAGAGGGAGCCAGAAAGCAGCCTTTCTCTGTGATGTATGTATCAGTTCCTGCTTGAGTTCCTGCTGTGACTTCCTTCACTGGTGGTCTGTGACCCTGAAGTGAAAGCCAAACAAACCCTTCCTCCCCAAGTTACTCAGAATGTTTTAGCACAGAAAAGCAAACCAGAACAAGCAGGATCTTCTAATGTGGGCAGGTCTCTTCCTCCTCCCCCTTTCTGTAGGAAGGATGCAGTTTGAAATTCAAGTTGAACTAAAAAAGCCACGAAGGATGTCTAAATCTTGAGTTTGTCACTGTGGAAGAATCTGTTTCCTTTTGAACCTTTAAAGAAATCCAAATGGAACAAGATCTTCCTGGCCTGTCCAGGCTGGCCTCGGACTCTTTGGGAAACCTTCCTGCCTTGGCCTTCTCAGTTGAAGGGATTACAGGTGTGAGTCACCATGCCTAGCTTCAGATCTTTTTAAAACTCAAATATTGTTTGCAGGCATGGTACTGAATGTCTTTAATCCTGGCACTCAGGAGATAGAGGCAGGAGGATCTCGAGTTTGAGGCCAGCCTGGTCTACAAATGGAGTTCCAGGACAACCAGAACTATAGAGAGACCTGTTTCAACCACCCCACACCTTGATAGCCACCCTGGAAGTATAGCACTCAGTCTTGGGTGCTTCAGAAAAACTCAAGTTGCCAGAGAAGAACAGGCAAGCATCCCCTTTAGGAACACCCTGCCAAGAGGATCCTTAGTAATGAAGTTGTAATGAAGAATGGGGCTGTTTTCATAAACTAGAACAAATGACATAAGTAATAGGTGGCTGAGATTGGGGGGGAGGGTAGAGGGATGGACAAAGGTACCTTGACTCCATCAAGCATGTCCCTGTGGTCGAATGTCACAATGTCACATTTTAAAGTTGCTCCTTTCTCATCTACTACATGCTGACTGCCTTCAGGAGAACACAGATTCTGTTCACATTTACAGCCTGCCCTTGCTTTACACCTTTCCCACTGCACACAGTCATAAAATAGCACAGTCATCATACTCTGTAACCACAAAACAGTCCCTTGAGTGTAGGAACAATCCACTGAGATGCACAAATAAAACCACATGTTCTTCAAGGGGCAGACATCCCTGGTGATGGATGGCAAGTAAGTAAATAGACAAGATGCAGATATCAAGAAATGCCTGACATGCTTTTCCCCAAATCCTGTTTAAATCCAACATTTATAATGTACATGACATTGTCAGTCTTGACCAGGTCGAAAGTTTGTTACCACTTATATTTTAAAACTTGTTTTGAAAAATAATGTATCTCACATAGTAACAATATTTTGGAATTAGAAAACCTATAAACCAGATGAGAAAATTCAGGGTGCTGCCAGTGACATTGGCCTTTTTAAGCCTGTGAGACTGTGTTCTGAAGCCAGACTTCGTATGGTCCCCTCTAGAAGATAGGAAGGAGGTCTACACCCCGAGACACAGAATTACTCAACTCAGAATAAGGACCAACCCTGAAGATCCATCATTTATTTAGGTTAACATTTCTTTAGCAGGAGTGCATGAAGAGGGGAGCGGAGGTGAGCAGAGGAATGGATAGACAGATACCCATCCTTCCAAACCCTCCTTCATCTCCAGAAAGAACACCAAGCAAAAGTTCCTGATGAAAACAGGCTGAAGACCCCAGTTCACACCTCATGGGTCCAGGAAAAGAACTTGGGTTTGGATTCCAGAAATGCTTACTGAGAGCCAGGCATGGTGATGCATACCCACAATTCAGAGGCAGAGGCAGTTCAAGACCAGCCTGGGCTACACAGTGAGTTGAAGGCTACATGGTGAGATTTTAAAAAAGAAAGAAATCAAAAACAAACACATAAAAGCTTCCTAGAGAGGCTAAGAGGGATGCTCTCAGAGAGTAAGCTGAACCCTGGGTACTAAAGGCACCTCCCAGAGGTCAGCCCATGTTCAAGTAGGAGACTGCAGTCCATGCACAAAACATCACGTAGGCACACTGTTACACCTTCAGGGCAGGAAATGGAGTGCAGAGCCGGCACGGTTGAACATCCTGCCTCTCCACAGAAGTTCCTGCACCATGGATGGGATGAGATGGACTGGTCACCTCCCTTGTTGTCATCAGCCAGATTATGTGACAGGAAGTGCACCCACCCTTGGAACAGACAGGAACACATTTTTACATGTTTTAATAAATATCTCTTTGAGTCCATTGTTTTTTTAATCAGTTGGCCCTTTCCCCACTGGAGTAAGCAGAAAGACGGTCTTGAGGGCTCTGATATGCTTTCAGGTCTTCTGTTACTTAGAGCACTTTATTTTCCACAAGACTATCTTCTTTATCTACCTAAGATTAGTTTTAAGTTACATCCGACAACGATAAAAAGTTTAGAACAATAAAAAGGCTGTAACTTTACAGATGTTCAAGCATAGCCTAGTTGGGAGGTCAGCTACAGGAAGAGATGGGGATCAACAGGATGGCCAGTATGCCTAGCAGTCATCACCACAGCCAATTGCTTTACATCTGTTTTACTTTGAGTCACGTCCATCAAATGACACAAACTCAAGTTGATAGAACTTGACTTCCCTCAACTCTAATCTCCAATGAAGACATTTGCTGTGGACTACAGGGGATGGGACACTGTGCATCCTGGACTGACTGCACATGCTCAGTGCATTCTGTGTCTGCAGTGGCTTCATGTTCTACTGCTGCTACTATTGATGCTGCCGTTTCCAAGGAGATGTCTCCAGTGGCTTCATCACTGGCACCATGAGCTCTTCATCACATTCGAGTATCCTCAATGGGGATGTCATCCTGTGAACAGGGGAAGACAGACCAACACTCAGCAGATCTCCTTGGGGATGTGAGATAAGGCAAATATCAAGTAGGAGTGAGCCAGCAGGCAATGTGCCTGATGTATTTATTCACACACCATTTAAACCCAAAAAAACCCATGGGAGTTAGGTAATTCCATGAATTCTATGTTATTGGTGAAACAATTAAGGCATTGAAAGAGGAAAGTGACTGTCTAGGGTCACACAGCTAGCAAATAGTAGATTTGAGACTTAAAATCCCAGGAAGCAGAGTTTGAGGCGTCAAATCAACTGTGAGGGCTAACAGAGAAGGAAGGTAATCCTTTAGGTAGCCCCTTAGTTTAATGTCTGTGTAACTTTTCCCTGCTCCGTGGTGTGTGTGTGTGTGTGTGTGTGTGTGTGTGTGTGTTGTATAAAGTTTCATGCAATGTATACATCTATGTATAGAAGTCAGAGGCAGATGCTGGATGTCTTACTAAATTCTTGTCCATCTGGCTTGTTTGCTTACTTTTTTTTCCCTTGAGACAGAGTCTCATTGTGTAGCCCTGGAACTAGCTATGTAGACCAGAAGAGCCTCAGCGATTCTCCTGCCTCAGCTGCCCACGTGCTGGACTAAAGGCATGTACCACCGTGCACTGCTTCGTCACCCCTCCCCCCTTTAAATCATGGTGTGGAGGATCTGAGTTTAGGTCCTCATGTCTGCATGGCTAGAACTTTCCTGACTGAGTTCTCCCCCCTCCCCACATTCCCCTTTCTCTTGGAGAATGCCTCGCTCCATCCTTCCTGCTTCATTCACACAGTACTATTGGCAGGCAGAGCCCATTATTCTGTCTTGTTTCTGCTGCTGTGTCTCCCTCATGGCAGTAAAGACGATCCGGGCTTAGGTGACCACTGAACAGATGCAACTGTAATTAATTTATTTGGTCAATTAATTGATTCCTATTGATCAAAGCACAAAATGGGATTAGATTGGGAGTGAGAAACCACTTAGTGTTGTACACTGCCTGTGTCTGCCAGCTCCAGGAAAGAACCAGGAGAGGCATGGGAGCCTGTGGAAGTTCCAAGTCACCTCTAACTACTACCCCTGGGGAATCCTTTGCCCTAGTGTTCGGATGCATTCTGACTCTAGTCTGGACCAGGCTTGAGAGGGACCAAAGAAGATGGGAAGCAATATCCCTTGTGGGTCAGAAGCTCATAGACAGAGGTGCTGCATACACAGTTTATTCTTAAGACTTGAACATGCCCAACTGTCAGCCCTGATGGGACTTGGTGACTTTGGACAATTTCCAGCCCCACAGTACCTTCCCTTCTAAAACCAGGAGGGTGGGATAAATAGTATTAAAGTTTTGTCTCTTAGTGATGGGGGGCACAGTGTGTCTTCTTTCTTTATCTGAGCTGCTGTTGGCTGGGAGCACCACTGGCTGTCCCTGAGGCATTCTCTCCCCTGGCCAGGGCTCTCTGGGTTAGGAATACAGAGTTTAAAGCTGGAGAGATGACCAGAGAGAGCCCACCCTATAAATCTGGCTTGAATTTTCTTCAGAAAGCCATCCTCTACCTGAGACTCCTGGGGACTAGAAGAGGCTGTCAGCAAGACCAAAGGGCTCCCAGGAAGGCAGGTGCCAGTAAGGTGTGGGGGACACTGTTGGGAGACCACTTGGACTCCAAGAGAACTAAGGGGTTGGGCGTTTACTGTAATCTGGGGATTTAGAATCTTCAGGTTCTAGAAGATTCTGAACCTAGTGACCGTCCATTCCAAATCTAGTGTAAAGAAGTATTAATGTGCCGTACTTCCTGAGTGCACGGGACACTTTCTTCTCCCTAATTCAGTCTGTATGATGGGGCCCGGGGCCTGGGAGGGGCATTCACAGCACAGCAAGTCCTCCTGTGCCTGCTGTCCTGTCGTTCGGAGTCAAGTGACTTTCATCTATTCAGATGGACATAGTGGCCCAGTCTTCAACAGGCTAAAGCAGGAGCTTTCCTTGAGTTCAAAGCTCCCTGGACTAATAGTGAGTGTCAGGCCAGCCTGACCTATAGAGTAAAACCTTGACTCAGGAACTAATTGATTAGCACCAAAAAAAAAAAAAAAAAAAAAAAAAAAAAAAAAAATCATTCATTCTCTGTACACATAGTTTTAAAGGACCTAGCATGTTCCAGATTCTACAGTGTTGAGGGGATACTGGAAGAAAAGTATACGAGATAATAAAAGTAAGAGAAGAGGAGCTGGAGAGATGATGGTTCCGCAGTTAAGATCCTTTCACCGCTCTTGCAGAAGACCTGTGATTGGTTTCCAGTACCCCATGGGGGTTCATAACCATCCCTAACTCCAGTTCCAGAGGATCCAACGCCCTCTTTTAGCCTTCACAGACACTAGGCATACATGTGGTACCTACATACATGCAGGCAAAACATGCATACACATAAAATAAATAAGTCTAAAACCAAAAACAAACAACAACCAAAACCCAGGAAAATGACAAAGTGGATTTATGGGAGAGAGTAGCTGTGGAGTGGGAGCAGATTTCTTTGAGTGAGTGGTCACATGAGAGGCTTTAGTGACAAGAGACAGCTGAGCTGGGACCTGAAGGATGGGTTGGAAGTGACCATATGAGGATCAGAAAGAAGACTGTTCTAGTTGGAGTGGGCTACAAAGGTAGAGCTCGGGGTAGGGAGTGAACCTGGTATGTTGCAGAAAGGGGACATCAGAGTGCTAGAGGGAGGGAGAGAAGAGGGAGAGCCAGGGAAAGAGGTGTGTCCATTCCTGCACCAAATTTGATCTGATTTGGAAAGCAGATTGCTGCAGATGTGATGAGGGAATCTTAAGATGACACCACACTGGCTTCAAGGCACATCCTGCATCTGAAGACTGTCGGCTTATAGAGAAAGAGGAGGAAATCTGAGACCCAAAGATACAAAGGTCACACAGAGATGGCGACAAAGATTGGAGTGAGCCACCCTCAAGCCACAGACACATCCGTCTACCCGCTGCTGTGTAGAGAACAAATCTTACTGAGAGAAGGAAAAGGATGACAGAAAGGCAAGAGGTTACCACGGTAGGACACTGATGTTGGCTGATTCAGTGACAAGACGAAATGAAAACAGGGCTGAGGAAACTGTTTATAACAGGCTGGGGAGAGATGCCCAGTTGTCCTCGGGGAGTTTCCAAGCCTCCACAGAACCATACATTCCCCTAAAGCAGACAGGTGAGTTAAGGGGGATTTCTGGGAGCTGGTGGGAGCAGACTAGTAGAGGGGGAGGTCCAGGGTGTGTGGGCTGGCAGAACAGCAGGGGCCAAGCTGCTTCCCTTCTCAGGTAATACGGGACATTGCCTGTGGCTAAGTGGGTGTCACACAAAGCCTCCTCTAAAGACCCAACCCAATGCCACTTGTGCTTGGAAGGATCCCTGATGCCTTACCCCTGCTCTCTACACAGACTTTCTCCTCGGGACCCCGACAGCACCTCTCCCCCCAGTAGACACTGTCAGCATTAGTTGTTGTCAAGCCCTGCTCTCTCCATGCCCTCCCTGAAGCTGACCCAGTCGGCTGGAAGTCAGAACACAAGCCCCACATTAGTCTCTGTGCAGTCAGCACAAGGAGAGGGGCCCAGTGACTGTTTCTGCATGCTGAGCTGATTCAACACCAAACTGGGAGGAACAGGACATGTGACAATGGGGGCAGCTCCAGCCATGGTGCGGTGTCATCCGTCAGGGCCACCTACCGTGGAGACTCCCTGATGATTCTGGATCTCATTGCTGGTCTCTCCTGGGGCATTGTCGAACCCTGGGCGGCAGCCTGGCTCCACAGGTGCGCCCTCCTTTTGGTTTGTCTCCTCCTCTGGGACAATGGTGCCCTCTACTCTTCCAGGAGAATTTGGTGGGGGCTTCTCCGTGCCTTCTCTTTCCTCTTCATCTGCCACACTCTCCTCAGAGGCTGTCCCCTCTGTGGCCTTCCCAGTGTCTGTATGCTCTCCAGCGGCTGTCCCCTCCTGTGGGCTTCCGCAGCCATTCTCAGCTTCTGTCCTGCAGGTTCGGGGTGGCACCGGGGCCTCCAGGCCGCCCTGGCTAGCTGTGTCGGGATTCTTTCCAGCCTCCTCTCCTGCACTGGCCTCACCTGGGGTCGCTACCCATTCTTCTGTCTTCTCCACGCTGTTGCACAAGCTCTTTCCAGGAGGGTTTTCTGCAGACCCCGGAGTTCCCTCCACTCCGTCTCCCGTGGCCTCCTGGTTGGGTGGGGGAGACCCGGGGGCCTTGCTCTTGCTAGGGAATACGTCATCCCCGTTCTCTACCCCGGCACCATTTTCCTGAGATGGCTCCACAGCCCTGTAGTCTAAAAGGTCCCCACAGTCTGACTGAGACCGTCGGAATCGCCGGGAGGGCGGGCGTCTTTTTATTGAGCCTCTAGTCCGCACCTGGAAGATGTGAAAGACTGTTATCATGAAAATAAAAAAGGCCAAGAGGCAGACTGTATGTACTGGACAAACTCACTGCAGGGCCCTTAAGTTTCCTAGGAGGTGTAGAGCTATTTGCTGTTTGTTCTAAATCGAGTGTTGAGCCGTGTTTCTCAACCTGTGGGTTAGGACCCCACAGGGGCTGTCCATCAGATATCCTTTATATCAGATATTTACATTATGATTCACAACACTAGCAGAATTGCAGTCATGAAGGAGCAATAAAATTCTTTTATCGGGGATGGGTGGGAGGGGGGGGATCACAACACGAGGAAAGGGTCGAAACATTAGGAAGGTTGAGGACCAGTGCCCTAGATGATTGTAAAACTATTGGGCAAGCTGCAGATTTTTATTTCAGGAAGATGCACATGCTTTCCATCCATTAGCTGGGGAGATGGCTCAGTGAGTATTGCTGTGAAAGAGTGAGGGCATGAGTGTGGAGTCTTAGCACTTTTGTAAAAAACAAAGGCAACTGTGGATTTGAGACAACAGATCCCTGGAGCTGGCTGGCCAGCACTCCAGCCACTTGGTGAGCTCTGGGTTCAGTGAGAATGACCCCAAACATGGCACATGGTGTCTTTTTATAATAGTCAAAAGTTCGAACACCCTGAGTCATTTCCTTGGGCACACCACTATAATACAAGGGAGACAGTGCTTACCTTATTGTAAGAGGGCAGGTGAGTACCTTCCGGGGGCTGGTCAAAGCTCACAGGCACCTCTTCTGCCTCTCCTGGCTGAGACCGGATGCCAGGGCTACTGGGTGTGGAAGGGGGACTGTGAAATGGTGACACCATGGCCTTCAGTCCAGGACTTTTGGGTGAAGCTCCAGGCAGAAGAGCTGCTGGGTCAAAGGCTAAGTTGGCCTGTCAAGGAAGGGGAGAAGATGAGGGCTTCTGCTTCATTCTGGTATGGCTTCACTGGCCTCCCAGCCGGTTGAGGATACTCAATAGCAAACTTTGTGTATTTTTCCCTCAACCGGTTATCTGCCATTACACTACAGCTGCTTGTGGAAACATGGCCTGCCCACACATCCCGCTACCTGCCTCGCAGCAGGCGGCCTTGTCGGGTGCTCAGATCCGGATGAGGTAGACTCGATTCAATAGATGATACTCTAGCAGCCCTGGCCAGGCAGAGTGGTTTTTTTTGTTTGTTCTTCAAGACAGGGTTTCTCTGTGTAGCCTTGGCTGTCCTGGAACAGGCTCTGTAGACCAGTGTGGCCTTGAACTCGGAGATCTGCCTGCCTCCACCTCCTGAGTGCTGGGATTAAAGGTGTGCACCACCACTCAGGACACAGAGGTAGGTGGATCTCTGTGAGTTTGAGGTCAGTCTGGTCTACATTAGTGAGTTCTAGGCAAGCTGGGGCTACATACTGAGAACTTCTCTAACAACAGCAACAACAACGATGATGATGATAAGTGGAACAGCTTCAGTGAGTAGTCACAGTGGCCCAAAGCGAAACTGCTAGCAGTGCCTTCAGCTCCCAGTTTCTTGCAGTAAGTATTTGGCACTCATGTCATCTTCCCATTGGCCAATAGCATTACGGGCCTACTAGTATCTGCTGTATATGCCTATTAATATCTGCTGCATACAGCTATTGCCTTTGCAACCGCTCTACACACTCAGTGTTGGTCTCCTGATAGGAAGGTGGTTCATGGCCAGCCTGCTTGTTCCTGAGTCCTCCCAATAGAGTTCTGTCTTTGGAGACAGCACAATAGTAGACACTGCACTCTTCTGGGTGTCTCTCCTCTGGGGCATCTCAATACATCGGAACCGGATCAAAGTGGGTATGATGGGAGACCAAAGGGAAAGTTACTCAAAGGTAACCAAGGCCTAAGGGCATCCACATGTTCCAAGGAGGAACAGGTGGGAGACCCCAGATCAACTTTACAGATGGTAGAGCAGGAAGACGGCTATGGAAGGATTATGTAGTAACAGCCCAGACAGGGCCTCACAGAGCCAGGCCTTCAATTCACTATGCAGCCAGGAATAACTCTGAACTTCTGAGCCTCCCGCCTCTACCTCCAGAGAGCTGGGATCGCAGGCATGCTCCACCACATCCAGATTTTGAGGTGCTAGGAATTGAACTTTGAGTTGAATTGGGCTCCCTGAACTCTGAACTGAGCTGCATCATCGGTCCACAGTCTTTTAGGGTCATCTAGGGGCCACCTCTTCTTCCTGTCCTGCCTGTATAGATCCAAACCTATGCAGTTGAGTAGCTCTAACTGGGCTGATCATACGTAAGACCTCTCCTCTCACAGAGGTGACCTGCAGGCAAGGCTGACAGAGCAACAGAAAGTTCCACACAAGCAATTATATTTAATGTAGGATCTTTCTCTTTGTAGCTGCTATGTGATCCTGAGCAAATCTAACCACCCTTCTGAGACTCAGGGCCTCTATTTGTCCCACTGTTGGCCTGACCCCCAACAGCCTTTTGTGGCTGATTCCTGGTTACTCTCATGCATTGCTTAGCTAGTACCCCACACTCACAATGCCCCACCCCCCAGCACTCCCCCCAGGCTAGACTGATGACCTTGAGGACACTCAAGTCATGTTAGCACTCTCAGGCTACAAGGCACTACACACATGTTTAGGAAGATGGCCACTATTTACTGTATGTGGTCTTAAGGATGAATGCGCAAAAACAGATATGACTAAATCATGGGAAGAATTAAATACTGAAAATGCAGGAGCTAAAAGACAGCATTGTTAAGTCTAGGCCGTGTTTGTTCTTATTTTTGGTTTTTGTAAATATCATATGATGGGTATCAGGGAAGGGCTGGACCACAGATGTCCTAGGCAGGATGCATTTCACACTTACCTGGAGCTTCTCAATCAGAGGTGAGCTCTTCACCTTGATTTTTGGTGGGTGGCTGGTGTTGGATGGTGATTTCTACAGAGCAAGTAAAAAAACAACCAAGTGAGCCAGAGGGAGGAGAGAGGATGGTCTCTTAAGCCATCATTGCATACCCACTTACCTCGTCGTGCCTGGATGAGACAGGCTTCCTGTTTCCTTCCCCCCTCATCTTACCACAAGCAAGACCACTTGAGTTTGAGCTGAGGGGTCAGGGCAGACATTTGTACCACAGGACGCCTCCCGTCCCAGGAAGAATGACTTCATGGTCATTAGGAGTTAAAACTACTTATGTGGAGATCAAGGCCTTCACGTCATGGCCTTCTACAAGGCAAATCAACAATTGGAGGGAATTTCACAGACAAGGGGCAAAACTGGTCATAAAACAGAACAATAAATCACAGGCAGAGATATTATTAAAATCCCTTCATTGGTTTAATATTTTGGAAAATTCCACCAATGACATGGTCCACATACTATGATTTTCCCATACACTGATTATTCACCTAATTTTTCAGATACATGAAATTGAATGTGATTTACTCTCTTCCCTTAGCTAACAGTCAGTGGCTGCTATCAGCGATGTATGCTCTGTTAATTAGTTTTGTGATCAATGTGCACCATGAATCTTTCCTGTTTCCGGATTATATACTTGTAAAAAGATTGGATCCTTGTTTATGCTAAATTCCCACTGCTGTGCAAAACTGACGAGTCATATGATGGTTAAATGATGGTGGAGAAATAGAAGATGAAGTTCATGTTGACAGACAGGGCCAAGCATTTTTCCAATAGTTTGGGACCAATGTGTGTTACCTTCCCTATCTCCATGACTGTACTGGAACCATAAGAGGAAAAATATTGCACATCTCTTGCTAATATTCTGAGGTGTCTGATTATATTTTAGTTGTAGAAGAAGAGAGAAAGACTCAACTGATCTGGGGCCTTTTCAGATGCTGGTTCTAAGGGGGAGCACACTGCAATGAGGCTGGGACAAAGAGACCGGCCTCCTGACTCCAGCTTTGCTGGCCGGACGGCTGCCCGCTCTGCCAACATTTTGTGGCTATATCAAAGGATGCAGAGGGCTTTCTTTCAAGCTCTAGATTGCCTCTGTCTCTGTGAGTCTCCACTGCCAGCCACGTTCCTAGGGCATCATTATCCTTGAGCCCTAACTGGGAGGTTCTTAGTTTCTGGGCGTCACAAAAGAATGTCTTGTGTTTGGAAGACACTGGTTCATAAACTGCAGCAAAAATCTTTCCTTCCAAATCTCACTTTAGATAATATTATAAACTCCCCCAACTCCTTTTGAAGACAGTGGAAATCCAACTAACAGTGGTTCTTGACCACAGACAGGAGGTGAATGGACTGTGGAACTCTTAATTCTTAATGGTTTGACCAGGGAGTCCTGTACAACCTCTAGTGCAGTTAACAAGATGGACAGCAGGTGGCAGCATTTAGTTTATAATTTAATTGGGCTCCAGGCCAGTGGCTGGGGCTAAGACAACATTCAGAGATGAACCAACTTGACATTCGTACATTTATGTCTATGTGTATTAATATGACATTCCAACAATGTAATATGGCATATAGAGTTTGTGTACATGATAGCTTCAGATGGAGTAGTTTTCATGTCCTTTTAACATCCAGTCATCTGGTTCTCTCAGAAAAGGTAATCTGTCACTTTGCCTACAGTCAGCAGGTGAAATCCTGGTGGCTGAACCCACATCTCAGACCCAGAAGGCATAGGAAGTAAAAGTGAAGCGACCCTTCCCGTCCCTGTGCATGAATAACCTAGGGTAACCTGAAGGCTATCAAGGTTCCAGGAGGCTACACAGCTATGTAACACCTCCATCCAGCCCTACCAGGCAGATTGTACCCACTTTTTCTGACAGAGGTTTCATTTTGAAGTTCAGGATGGCCTGGTGCTTGCTATATAGACCAGTCTGTGCCACTCTCTGAAGGCTGGGATTAGGATTGTGTGCCATGACACCCCACTCTGTGAATGTCAAGGCAAAGAGGAAGTCATTGATCCTGTGGGCAGTGTTGTTTGTAAGAACACACAGTGTCTCTCTGCAGAGGGGTTGTTGGTTTAAACCCCACCTTCCTCTTCATTCTACCCCTTGGCCATTGCATGCCTTAACTTCTAGGTTTCTTGCCCCATGGATAAAAGCTGAAAGTTTATTCTTATAAAGCCCATGAAATGAAGCCGTATAACCCAATCACTACAAACCTGACCCAATTCATCTGCTTCTATTCCCATGAGCAAAGCTTCCCCATCCCCCCTCCCCTTCTGGTAAGTTCCTTACGAATAAAGAAGTAGTGTGGGGAATTACTCCTCTAGGGGCAAGCCTAGGTTATCAGGGGACAGCCTCAGATGGCCACAGCCTCAGCCCTGTACCACAGCAGAGGTGCCAAGCTCAGCAGGGAAGAGCTACAAGGAGAAGTTAACCTTTGTAAAGAGAAGGTGGTGGTGGTTGCATTGTCTGGGAATACCATGAAAGTCATAGCATCATGATGCTAGTGCCTGAGAAGACCCAACCAAAAAAACCCATTTTGTTAAACTTCTCAGCTCACAGGACTACCCTGTTCAGTGGGGAGGGAGTTATTCCCAGAGCAGATGGGCCCCAGACCTTACCCCTACTTGACTGGGAGGAACTATGAGTTCTCTGCCTTTTACATTTCTTAAATTTTATTTTTAACTAAATTTTTATGTGTATGGGTGTTTTGATGATTGATTGTCCATAAAGGCCAAAGGAAGGCATCAAGTTCCCTGGCACTGGAGTTACAGATAGTTGTGAACCATCATGTGATATGGGTGCTGGGAATCGAACCCAGGTCCTCCGGAAAAGCAATGAGTGCTCTTATCCACTGTGCCGTATCCCAAGCACCAAGATCACTGCTTTTTAATTTCATCTGTCTGTCTGTCTGTCTGTTTATTGTGTGTGTGTGTGTGTGTGTGTGTGTGTATGCACGCGCATGTGTGAATGGAGTGTAAGTGGCACACACATGTCATAGCATGTGTATCCAGGTCAGAGGATGGCTTACTTTTGGGAGTCATTTTTTTCCTTTCACCATGTAGTTGCTAGGGACTGAATTCAGGTCATCGGGCTTGGTGGCAAGTAAGTGCCTTTACCTGCTGTGCCACCTTGCTGGCCTGAGTCCTCCTTTTTGATGCACTTACAAGCTTTGGGTTGACAAAAAGGCTTGAAAAACCATTCATCTACATCGACCGTTTCACTTCATAGGCGAAAGAATGTAGGCCTGCCTGAGTTCACAGGGGTATTTGGTGCCTTTTATCAGGATGCTGGTCCCAGAAAGAAGGGAAGGGGAAAAGAGGGAGCTCAAGTGGGAATTGGGAACTGAGCTATGTGACTTGCTTGCTCTATTTTGGGCTTGGCCTCCCAGGCCTGAAGACAATGTGCAAATTGGTTTCTGGCATGGCCATGGCTGTGACCACAGTAAAAAGTTCATGGGCTGCTGGGCTGGGGCCTGCAGCAGCCACTCTAACAGCTACAATTAGATAAATAAGACCGGGCAAACGTGCAGGCTGGGACTCTATTACTGGCTATGATCTATGACACCAGAGCCTTCATTCTGTTGGCAGTACCGGCTATTTATATCTGAGGGCTGGGAGGGCTCCTGTGTGCTCTGGTTGTCTTCCACTGATCCCGAACAATAGGCAGCCTTTTCAAGGGTATGCAGAGACCATGAACTTCTGTAGCATTATAGTTCTGCTTCTAACAGCGCAGCCTCTGTTACCCCTTCCACACCCCTTCTGCCACCATTTCTCTAAGATTGAACCATGGCTCTTGGTGTAAGAGACTGGAGAAAGCCAGCCTCCAAGGTAAAAGATCCAGGAAGGACCTAGGGAGACTCATTCTTGTATCTGAGATGGAGAGACCCTTGAGCAGATGTCAAGGGCTAAACGTGTGATGTTTGTGGCTCCTCCTGCGAGGAGGAAACCCCACAGCAGCATCTCTGATCCCAGGGTAGCACTTACCTCCTCACCATTCTGGCCCAGCTCTACCTTGGGGGGGAACAGGGGGAGGGAGCAGGGCGGTTTCCTTCTTGTTGGTTTACTGGCTGGTGTCTAGAGGGGGAGTGACAGACGACACAGAGAGAAAGAGAGAGGCAGTGAATCATGCAATAGGGAGGAAGAGGAAGGATTGGAAACCTGTGTTAGGAATAGTTAGGGATGGCTAGAGGAGAAGGATCGTGATGGATGGCTGTCTCCGGACTGTCCTCCTGCTGAAGGAATTGTCTCCTTCCCCTTCCTGTTCAGTGCTAACGTCCTCTTGTACTTGAGGTCCCCGGACCCGAGCCAGCCTCTCAAGATGACATCCACAGTTTGCCTTTGTGGCTGTGAGTCAGAACCAGTCCCTTAGATCAATGCCACCTCCTTTGTCCTTTGGAGCATTCCTCTGTCTAGATACCATGGGTCGATTTTATTTTTAATTGAGAAAAGTGCAAAATTATGTATGAAAAAGAACAAGGCAGCTGCGCTGTCACAGCCGACCCCAGCCGACCCGTGGGGCCATGGTAGACCCTTTCCACGGGGGTGGGGGGGGGAATTCTCCCTTCCTTTTTTGTTGCTGTTTGACAGAGACCTAGCCTTGCAGTGCTTATGCACCCGGGATGACCTTCAAGTATTGGTCCACCTTCATCTAACACTGTAGCCCTATCCTAGGCGCTCACCACCAGCTCCGCCCTGCCTCAGCTTACTCTTTTGTTTTGTTTTGTGTTGCTTTTGTTTTCTGAGACAGAGTTTCTCTGCGTAGCTCTAGCAGTCCTGGAACTCACTCTGTAGACCAGACTGGTCTCGAACTCACAGAGATACGCCTGCCTCTGCCTCTTGAGTGCTGGGATTAAAGGTGTGCACACCAACGCCCAGACTCAGCTCAGTTCTAATGGGAGCCACACACTACATGACTGAGACAATCTAATCCAACTGTCCAAAGTCATAACACTTTATCCCCCCCCCCCCCCCTTCCGCAGGATTCTTCTAGAATCCTTTGGTCCTACATTCCTAGTTTTCTTTTGGAATGTTCTTCCTTCCAAATCCCCAGTTCTGGATCTGATGCAGCCTTGCGTATATCCTGCTTCCTAGGCTAGAAGCAGGCGCTGGGTGTGGGGAGGAGGAGTTCTTTACTCTGAACCCATCCAGGCTGGACACGGGGGTACAGCACCCATCTCTGTGTGTGGAAGCTCAAGATGAAAGGGGGCCCACACTCTGCCTGATTTTCACCCCTCCACAGTGGGAGCCTAACTCTGTAGGGAAGGATTCTGCCCAAGCTCAAGCCAGTGGTGGCACATTCCTCACATTCAGAGGGACCCTCTCCGGCTTCTCTTCCTAATTTGGTAATTGCCAAGGTTCCTCCTGCCCTCTTCCTTCTCAGGGCCTACCAGGCTTCCCCTTCTTCCATTCCCCTCCCGGAAGAGGATGCACCACGCCTCCAGACTTACCTCCCTGGCCATAGCTGCTTGCTCCCGAAACCGCCCAGCCAGCTGGGCCACGGAAGGCTGTGCTGAACTGTCCACATTGGAGTTGCTCTCTGCTGATCTTTCCTGGCAAACAAAGGAGAGGCAAACGTTAGTCAGTGAATGCATACTCTACTCTTCGGAGGATCACATGGCATGCCATGAAAGGCACCTGTTTTTGCGGGTCCATCAGGAATTCTGTGACGAGATATTTTTAACAGTAGTTTGCAACTTGTTCCTATATCCAAGTTCAAGATTAAAAACAGCTACACACACACACACACACACACACACACACACACACACACACACAATTCAGTCATTTACATTTAGTGAGTACCTACAATGTATTGGGGTTTTGGGTGTGCCCCTGGGGACAAGAAAAACAAAGCCCTGTCCTAGACAGGAGCTGAGGGATGGCAAGCAGTCAGGACAGGGTCTCTCACTCTGCAAAGACCCGCCAGACACAGGAAGTGTCAACAACAGTCTGCAAACTCCTTCCCCTGTGTAATGACTCTGAAAATTGGGGGTGCAGTGGGGTGGCAAATGCATTTGGAGCCAGGGTGTCTGTCTGTAGGAAACAGAGAGAGAGAGAGAGCACTTGCCCTTTCTAGAATTTTCACATCCAAATGTACGTGATTTTGGTTTTCCTACTTAAGTGAATGCCTTGGGTAATAGTGACCATTTATTCAGTCAATTAATGGCACGAGGCATTAGCAGACAGGGTGAGAAAGGGGTCCCTGGGGCTCAGAGACCTGCTCCACCCCTCACTGCTTCAGTGGTCCAGCCTTGGCAGGGGTGGTGCCAGTGTGACTCATTAGGCTGCTCTGGGTTTGGCAACTGAATCTATATAATGGCTGTGGGTGTGGGGGGCCACAAGAAACGGGTTGTTGTTATGACTGGCTACGGGTCCAGCCTTCAGTCCTGGCCATTAGTTTATTGATGTTCCAGGCCAAGATGCCTGAAGGGCATAGTCCATCCCGTGTGCCACTTGTCACCATGACACAGAGGGTGGGTTACTGGCCTTGGAAATGGCACCTTTTCTGCTGCATACACACGGTGCACATAATGACCTGGTTTTGGATTTACTTTCTCTCCCTCTCTGATACAGACTCTTGTTCTGTAAACTAAACTGACCTTGAACTCATGACCTTTCTACCTTTTCTTCCTTGACTGTTGGGATTATAGGCATGCACCACTATAGCCAGCTTCTTGTGGTGTGTGTGTGTGTGTGTGTGTGTGTGTGTGTAGGTCAGAGAACAACTTGCATAACTGTAAGCTGGACCCATAGCCAGTCGTAATTACAACAACCCTGCTCCTTGTCCCTCCCAACCCCCACAGCCATTAAATAGTCACCAGACTCAGACAGCCTAATGAGAGACACACTGGCACCGCCCTGCCAAACACGGACTGCTGAAGCAACGAGAGATGGATCAAGTCTGTGGTTGAGTTCCCACAGCCCCCTCACTCTGCCTGCTCCTTGCAAGAGTCCGTGTGTGTCCCCTCCCCCCCCCCACTACCACCACCACGTGTCCCAGGAATTGAACTCAGGTTGTCAGGCTTGGTGGCAAACATCCTTAACTATTGACTCACTGGTCCCACCTCTTGGTGGGTATACTCCATCCTCCAGCTATTAGGCTTTTGTTTTGTTTTGTTTTTTGTCACCATGATGGTGACATTTCTTCCCTCTCCCTTTGCCTTAGAAGGACGTGGGTAGCAGTTTGAGAGATCCCACCTCTGCCTCTCCTCCGTGGGTATCATGGCGTCTGAGCTGGCTCATGCCCCACTCCAGCAGTAGACATACATCACCACGCCGCTTACATCCCTGTGCACAGACTCTTTCACCATCCTCCTTTTGGTACTAAAGTTGTCTCCAAGTGTTTTGATTTGGCCCCTGCTACCTCCCAGCAATCACCTGGAGTAAACAGCTGGTTGGAAAGGAAACTTGTGCAGAGGTAGGAAAGAATGAATGGCCCCTCAGGCCTGCTGATGTGAATGAATGACTGTTCTGGGGCCAAAGTCAGGCACTTCACTCCTGTTGCTGAGTCACTAAACACTAACATTGACTTCAAGGAGAATTTCAAATGATTCACCTCTATTCAAGATGCCAGATGTTGCTGGGAGAGCCCTGGGAGTCTGAATGTTCCATCCGAAGAGGCTGTTGGATGGGCTCAGGACTGGTCCCTGTCTGATCTTCCCATTGGCCACGTGAGCAGTGGTCAAATACACACACTTCAATATCCTGGGGCATCAGAAAGGCTTCAGGGACAGAGGGTGGTGAGTCAAGCTGCCCTCGGCAAAGATGTGGAGCGGTCCGTTTGTCCATCTGTCTAGCTTCCTGCTACACACCAGCATGGCTGCTGTCCACTGCTATTTATGACTCTGGCCCTGCTGACGGTGCACCCACCTCAGCTTCCAGGCGCTGAAGGATGGCGGTGCAGTGAGAGACATTCCAGTTAAAAATAGAGCCACAGAGGGATCAAAAACACCGGAATTTTCCCGGCTCAAGATGTGCTTGGCAAGGGGCTCAGCAGCAGGGGACCGGAAGGCTTCTGGAAGCACTTAGGGTTCCCAGGTTGGGTGAAAGCAGATTCTAATACAGAGTTTGCTTCCCTAAGTCCCTTAGGTACTGAGTTTTCTTCAACTGGCAAGGCCTCTCACTGCCACCTATCTCCAGAACACCTCATTTTCTAAATTTCCGAATACTGACAGGTAAGTGCTGGGCCCCCTGAAACCCAGAGGCACCCATCATTTAACCAAAGACACACAGGAGAAACCAAATGGAATTAGCCATGGACTATTTGGCTCTGGCACCCTGCAAGGGCCCCGAGTTAAGTAATATATCCTGTGAAAGCGCTTAAAGAACTGAAAAGGGCTATTATGTAAATATCACAATTATTATTAGCCACCGAGTCACACAGGTGCAATGGAGGAAGCATGATCTTCAGGCTGGTGGCTCAGCCCATGTGTGGCTTACTTCCATCTTGCATTGCAATCCTAGCCACAAAGTTCCTTCAGTGGGTGCAATGGCTTGCAAGCCCATCCCTGGCTGGAGCCTTGAGGTTACCAGTACAGCTATACTCTCAGGCTACCCTTCAACGAGCTATGTAGCTGAGATGATCTTAAACCAAATTGCTGTTTTTGAGACAGGGTTTCTCTGTGTAACAGCCCTGATATTTTTTTTTTATTTAAATTTGAAACAAGCTTGTTTTACACCCTCACCCTCCTGTCCTCCCCGGGTCCCCCCCCTCCACCAACCTCCATCTCATCCCCTTTCTGCTCCCCAGGGAGGGTAAGCCCTTTCATGGGGGATCTTCAAAGTCTGTCATATCCTTTGGAGCAGGGCCTAGGCCCTCCCCGATGTGTCTAGGCTGAGAGAGTTTGCCTCTATGTAGAATGGGATCCCAAAGTCCACTCATATACTAGGGATAAATACTGGTCCACTATCAGAGGCCCCATAGACTGCCCAGTCCTCCTAACTGAAACCCATGTTCAGGGGGGTCTGGGTCGGTCCTCGGTCCTATGCTGGTTTCCCAGCTATCAGACTGGGGTCCATAAGCTTCCCCTTGTTCATGAACCCAGAGTTTTGTGCATGCTAGGCAAGCATTCTACTAACTGAGAAATGTCTGCAACCCATGTATTCTTGGTTCTAAGATAGACTTCAGTAGGGCAGTGGTGGCACATGCCTTTAAACCCAGCACTGGGGAAGCAGAGGCAGGTGGATCTCTGTGTGTCTGAGGCCAGCCTGGTATATAAAATGAGTGCCAGGTCAGCCAGGGCTGCACAGGGAAACCCTGTCTTGAAACAAAACAAAAAAGTACTTCAATGTTTCTACTTCCTTCTAGGCAGTCCCAAGACCCTCAGCCTCCCTGAATAAATATCTTTTTTTCTTCTGGCTCATTAAGTACTTAGCGCTAGGCCTAAAGTGTGGAATGTGCTCATCAGAGTTTGTTTCCTTCGTTCCCCTCTCATTCAGCCCTATCTGCCAGTGTAGGACCTGGGCACCTGCTCCTACAGTCATCGACACCCTTAACTCACCCTGCGGACCACACCCAGTTGCAGCCCCAGCCTCCACGACATTCTTCTGGGCCTGAATCTTGCTTGCCACACCCTTCCTGCCACCAAGCAAGCCTGGCTCTGCCAGCTACCTTTGAGACCACAGTTTCAAGAATGTCTGACTCTGCTGAGGCCAGGACAAAATCACCTGTGGTGTTTTCTTTCCATGTCTGTGGGATTTTCTGAGAACTGAGGAGCCTGTGTCTAGACTGTGTGGAACTTCCTGGATGCCGTTGCCATGCCGAGTAAATACAATTTGGAGCTGCTGACCATCCGAATAGTAGAACCGTTGTATAAGGGCCAGAAGAAGGCCCTGTTACCCCTCTGGCTCTGCCCTGCTTTTCCACCCTCCCTGTTGTTCCAAAGTTGAAGTGCCTAACAGTCTCTGCGCCACAGTTTAGGGAAACAAAGTATATTGAGAAACCTGATCATGCGTGGCAATGAGAGGTCTGTGCCTGAGGGTGGGGGATCTTTTCCTCTTATCCAATAAGAAGGTTTCTTGCTCATTAGAACAGTGAACCCAGAGCTTCAGAGACATAAAAGATGCTTGCTGCTTTGGTCCTCCAGAAAGGAAAAGGGCCTTAAGACAAGGCTATCTCCTAGGAAGAGTTTCCATCCCTTACGAAGCTGCTTGACCGTCACTTGGGAAGGATCAGAGTGGCATCTTGGGATGTTCTCTTTGTTCCTAACTGTCCTGTTTATCCCAACGTTTCCCTCATTGCCATCCTGGGATGATGGAGAGGCTACTGGATCAGATTAGGCAGGTCCACTTATCCTGCCTGCTTCTGTGGGTACTGTTCTTAGAGCAGTGACAGACTGTCTGACTTTTACCTCTTCTAGAGGAGAAAATGGGAACTATACACTCTGCAGAGTAACTTTCTGTTAAGTGATGGCCTGGGAACGTCCTGGGTTCTGGAATGTCAGCTCTTCCCACACTGCTGGCCGGCCCCACTAACCCTACCCCTTCACTGGAGGGTGTGTCTCTGTCTCCTCTCATCACAGACCCTATTCTAGGCTTTAGTATAACAGTG